TCGCCTCACATTGACTTTGTAATTCGCAAGACATGTGCAAAGGTTGGCGCTCTTCGTCGGTCCTTTCGGCAATTGAGCAGGAAGGCCAGGAGGCAATTTATTGTATCAGTCATTCTACCTGATCTTTTGTACTGTTGTTCGTGTTTTGTAACGAAGCTGTCCGCTAAGGACCGCCAAAGGCTCTCTACTGTGTTCCGCCGTGCTGTGCGAGCTGCCTGTGGTGCTAAGTCACAGGACGACATCACGCCATTATTGACCACATTGGCGATTTATCCATTTGAACACTATATGATTCTCAACTTTGCCCAGTTTATTCATAGAAATCATGTCATCATCTCACTGCCTACCCTTACGGAATTATTTCCACCGATCACAACAAGCCTTAGAACTAGAAGCCACTCTAATGCTTCCATTGCCATATCTAAGCACCGGACAACTGATGGAGTAAATTCTTTTTCTAATCGTGCCGCAATTTTCTTTAATACACTACCTGCCGAGTGGCGCAGACACCACCGTACCTCTACATTTGCAAACCAACTCAGGGATCTTTTTAAAGACCCAGTGGCGTTTAAGAAGTATTTTGACCTTCTTTTTGGAATCTGTTGAGTTTCTCGATGATCTTGATAGTTCTTGTACTAAGATTGAAGTTGACTTGGTGTTTGATTACTGTACTGCTTGATGTCTGAATTCCAATTTTTTTCTATTTTTTCTTTTCTTTTCCTTTCCTTTCCACTTATCCCGTTATCGGCCCTCTTAAGAGTTGTGTGTATCACTGTTGAGGCATCCGATGGTAAATAAAATAAATACTACTACTACTACTAACACCACGTACACACGACGTACACAAAATAACGTACACACGACGTACACACGACGTACACACGACGTACACACGACGTACACACGCCGTACACACGCCGTACACACGCCGTACACACGACGTACACACGACGTACACACGACGTACACACGACGTACACACGACGTACACACGACGTACACACGACGTACACACGACGTACACACGACGTACACACGACATACACAAAATAACGTACTACAGTAAAACCTGATGTAAGCCTCCTGTGGGTTTAGCGACCACCTGCTCTTAACGACCGTTTTTACATGCACCGGCAGTTCTATACAGATACTGTGGGACCTGGTTCTAAAGACCACCTGGCTTTAACGACTGCTTTTGCTTGCACCTTGGGGTGGTCGCTTAAACCCGGTTTTACTGTACAACAGGAATACAGAATTTAAAATGATACCAACGGATTCTGGATTGTAGCTGAGTGATGGCTCTTACTGATATGTTATCTTCCACAGATTACAGTTAGACCTCCGTGATCCCGTAGAACATACTGTTCCTTAGCAGATTTCAAACAAGGGAAGAAGTTATGATTGTGTGCGTGCTTGTGTGCGAAAGTAAATATAAATGTTGTTTGTGTGCACGTGTGTGTGTGTGTGTGTGTGTGTGTGTGTGTGTGTGTGTGTGTGTGTATGCACGCATATGTGTGCTGTGTGCTGTGTGTGTGTGTGTGTGTGTGTGTGTGTGTGTGTGTGTATGCACGCATATGTGTGCTGTGTGCTGTGTGTGTGTGTGTGTGTGTGTGTGTGTGTGTGTGTGTGCGTGTGTGTGTGTGTGTGTGTGCGTGTGTGTGTGTGTATGCACGCATATGTGTGCTGTGTGTGTGTGTGTGTGTGTGTGTGTGTGTGTGTGTGTGCGTGTGTGTGTGTGTGTGCACGCATATGTGTGCTGTGTGCGAGTGTGCATGTTTGTTCTTGCGTGCACGGGTACATCCTCATAATGTATTTGCAGATTTTGGCTTGGCCCGTGATGTGTACACGACGGACTACTATCGACGAGAATCACAGAGTAAGTGCACATACACACACGTGGACAAACATACATACACACACCTTTCCTTTTCCTGTGATGCCCATCGCCGGATGCAATGCTAGCAATGATGCTGGCGAAGCCATAGCAATATGCATGCACCTAATTTAATGATACCGGGAGTGATGATACAATCATCAGGCTCTTTCCTATTAGCATTTCAAATTTTTAAAGGCAATAAACTCGCTATTGAACATTTTTGAAATGTCGATTGGTCATTCCTTAGTCTCAATGCATGTTTGGTCATGTGATAAACACATAATTATACTGGTTAGGTTCTTGTACGATTCACGCCAGTGAACTAATCTTAGACATCATGGATAGAGTTGTGCAGTGTGGTTGAGTGCGCAAAGCCACGCTCTGCTAGGTCAGTGAAGCACGTGGCGATATGTTATTTTCTTGGTCCAATATCATGATATAAGTGCTTATCTACTTTTAAAACACAAAAATAAATGACCCCACTCAGTTTTAGTGGTGTCTGTGATCCAACACTATAGTGATCGAAAGTGTCCCGTCACAACCCGCCCAGAGTCACGACTGTTGTGTTGGGCCTGTAAGCCACGTAGGAGTCCATTGCGGGACGAGGCAAGGACTGATCTTGTT